GAAGAAGAAGAGAAAAAGGAGGGGGGGGGAGGAGAGAGAGAGAAAAGAGAGGAAGAAAAACGATATTCAATTAAATTCTCTCGTTAAGAAAGAATTAATTCTTTTTCTCAAACAACACAATTGTACAAAACACTCCTTGTATTTAGCTTTTTACATTCTACTTTACTCAAATTCTTCTCAGCGAGAAAGCGCGAGCAAGGAAAGAGCAAGGAAGAAGCAGTTACATTTAGTTACATAATAATCTAATAATTATTTACGTAATTCAATCTCGTTTAACGAGATCACGTGATCTTTCTTTTTCAGTCATTTTTGGGAATCCCTTGCCGTCTACCACGTCGGATCCCGTCGACCAGTCTCAGCCGTCTCCTCCGAGGGCGACATCCTCGTCGATCGAGATCGAAGATTATCGTACGTCCAAGTCAACCAGATCGAGTTTTCGCATCGCTAAGGCTATCGGTCTTTATTCCCAGACGAATACGGCCGTGGTGCCCGACAGGCAACAATCGCCATCCGTCACTACCATCGACTCGTTGTTGACCGCGTTGGAAGCGGTACGCGTTGGAGGTACCGTCTCTGGAGCGAGCGTTCAGGAAACGATCGAGTTAGATAACATACGCGGTAACATCTCCAACGTCGAGCCGCTCGTCACAACGTCGACACCGCAACGCATCGCGGAGAACATCGAGAGAATCAGGAACTCGACCACGAGGAAGGATAGCAAGATCACGTGGATTCTGACGACGAATAAGCCATCGAGTAGAACGAAGTACGATCAGAAGGAGAGAAATCAATCTAGCGGCGCTAGCAGGAACGTCAGCCTCGAGGAAGCCGAGGATCTGACTGTGCTACCTCTCCAAGAAGAAATGACAAAGGTCGATCTGAACAGAACGAGATCCTCCTTGGTAACGTCCTTGTCCGCGGCCGAGACTATCGCTAATACCCCGATCAGAGCGTTCAATCGGTCCGAAGATGAGATCGAGATCGACGAGGAGGGGATGGCTCAAACGCAACACTTTGCTACGGCGGCGACTATCCTTGAAGGTAAAGAGTTCAGAGAAACCTGTGTTACAATGCGAAAATAAAAATAAGAATGATCCCGCGAGAATGAATTAACGATCGCACGATGTGCTTATCTCGCGAAAGATAAGAAAGTACCATTGTATTTTAATTAACGTTGATGCTGACATTGACCTCCTTTCTTATAGAAGCTGATGCTCTATTTTGTTCTCTCTATTCTCGCTCTAGTCTTTAATCGAATTTAACGAATTTCACTTAAACGATAAACGATAGAGTTTTAGTAACAACAAATAATCGTAGGATGTTCTAGAATTGTCATCAAGATTTTACGAGATGCGAGAAAAAAAATTTTGGGCGCTTGGAATTTTTTATAACTTGATGCTATGAATCAAACAGTTGGCGCAGTTGGCGCGAGCGAATCCACTCGTCTGAGCAGAGCAAGGAATACTTTCATCACGCAGCACTTCCAGAGAGATCAAATGCAGGGGGACAATCAACCATCTGATTATAATGACACCGGTAATAGCAGTGAAAATACGCAGCAAAGTTCGACAACATCCGCTGCAGGTATAGCCGCTATTACAGGCAGTTGTCTAGCGACTGTAGCTCTACTCAGCACAATGGGTAGTCTCGGATTCATTATATACAGGTAATGAACACGTAATGCGAATTTAATTATATCTTCATTCGTTAGCTGCGTCCATTCTTTAACTCCCTTTTTTCAGGCGCAAATACTTGAATCCTCCGCAAACCTTGAACAGTGATAAATGCAGCAATCCTGATAGCTCCGGTTACATCGACGATTCCACTATCCGCGTTAGTACTACTACTATTATTATGCTATTTATTTTATATATATATATATATATATATATATATATATGTATGTATGTATTTTTATTTTATATGTTACTTACTATATACTTGCTATATTACTTTACATGTTATTTACTATATATACTATTATATAGTATACATAAATATTTGAATATATAAAATCAGGAATTTAAACGAGCCTAAAATATAAACAAACAAATACATTTTTAACTCGAGACCGTCATTTTGTAAAATTTATTCTTATCTTTATCATTTATTTTATTGAGCCAACCAAGAAAAACAGTAAAATTTTTATTCATGAAAATTATTATGAAAGTATCTTATATTTATTTACAGGATAACTCGGAAGAGATGTACAGTTTGGATAACGACTCGTTCTTAAATTCGCTAGAGGCAATGACAATACAGAATTATTGGACGGACAGTGTGAAGCATACGAAGCTATGACAAAAGAAGATAACCCATCCCGGAAAGAGAATCGAGACGTTCAGCATTTCCGATGGTGAAGCACACGAGCAAGTTTCTCTGCTTGAGCAATAGTACTTACACGCCCTAGACGACCGTATTCTTTCTCTGTCTCGGAAATTTCGTTGCCCGGCGTATATCCGGAGGCAATGAATATATATGCGGCGTTTATACGAGAATTATTAGTCAGTCTTGATGGGTTGCATCAAACGTAATTATCTTGAATATTGTTACTCTGTACGAAGTGAAAAAAATTTCTAGATCAAAATTGCGAGATGACGTGCATTTGTAAATGTCGTTTCTCGACGTGTTGATTTCAACGTCACTTCCATCGTTCCTATATTTTTCTACGACGCATGCGACCGACAAAGTCACGCTTAGGCGAAAAGTGACGAGATCCTTGAATATTTCCATTAACAATATAGTGCAATAAAGATGAAAATTGATGTACTTTATTATTAAATTAATGTAATATTATTCTAGAAAAGTAAGAGTACAAATAAGGCTACGTTAGTCCATAGCTAGAATTTTCGCTAAATTAAAAAAAGAAGATTAATTTAATAAGGATATTGAAGTAATGTCCCTACGAGTATTTGTGTGTGTGTGTGTGCGCGCGCGCGCGCGTGCTCTGGTGTGCACGCGTACACGCACACACACACACACACACGCGCGCGCGCGCGCGCGCGTATATATAGTACAATGCTTCCAACAATGCGGATTGCAATTCGTATGTACAATATATTTACGTACTTACTGGTGGTCCTTTTATCCTTGGATTTGAATGCCAGGATCTTCTACAGTCTCACTTTGAAATTACGATTGTGGTGATTAGCACGGCCATATTGACGCGGTCGCTTAATCAAATAGCTTAAATATTTTCGAAGATTGGATTTACGGAAGATCGGACCAAATCATACGTAGATCTAGCTTTACGCCTTTATGACATATCCAGCAGAAATATTGATTCATGTTTTCCATTACGAGAAATCTAGCTTGTACCTATGTACATACGTACCGTTGTAATATTTTATGTATATTATAAATATACAAATCTGCCGTTGCGCCAAGTGAGGCGCGATTAATTTTAAATAGCTTTACCATTTATCCAGATATATTTCTATACACCTGAAGAGAGGAGGGGAAACAGAGGAGAAACAGAAGATCCATTGTGATAGATCGTAGCGTTTAATAAGTAAAATTATCACTGATTCGTTTACGTAACGGTAACGGTTGTGAATAAATACGTTCGTGTATTATATATACATTCCTACCGTCCCTTCCTTCATCTGTAATCTTTGCTTTTAATATATTTGTTTCGACTTGACGTTTAAACGTTGTCTAAATTTTTAAAAGCATTTAGATTATGATCTTTTTACAATAGTAAAAAATAATGTGTAACATATAAGCGTAGTTTGTTTCAAAAACTTATTTAAATAAATCTCAAAACTGCTAAACCTCAACTATATTTGTACATACATATTTAACCCAATCGTTATTCCTTGAGAAAAAAGGAGAACTTGTAATTTTAGGAAAATAATTAAATAATTAATCATCGTTAATAATTAATCACGTCGAAAGCGTTATCGAGAAATATCGGATTCAAGATTGAGAAATGGTTTTCCATATAAACGATTTATTTCATTAGTACACGTACATTTGCGCCAGCACAAAAACGGATTGTATTTTATAAAATGAAAGTAATGCAGAGTTCCTTTTCCGAGACTAGACACACGTGCGTCGTAAGATCCCACCTACCAGTCCCGTCCTTGTTCTCCTTCCTGATTCATTTTCATTTTCCGTTGTTTACATCGACTACAGCATTCATGTTCTTTACGCTGCGAAGACAAGGCGCGAAGTGGCATTGAAACTCTATAGTTGATGCGTTTCCCTGACTATCTCGCGGTGCTTCTCCAATCTCCGCGAGAAACATTCGACCAAATTTTTTCAGCCACGTCTTTCGCGACTATTCGCAAGAATCGTACTCAACTGATGATCCTCAACGTCGCCGAATAAAACCGCGAATCGGAAGTTCGCGATTCATATATTACTCTTTATTACCAAATACTCGGCGAGTCTCATTTCTTAATAGTTATTACATTTGAAAAATTATTAATACTATTATGATAAAACTTTGATTATTGCAAATTCTGACAAACTAGGATTTTTTTATGACTGTAAGAATTCGGTCTATGTTTCTCGTTACAGTATCGAGATCCTCGTCATTTCGTTATTACATCTTATCGTATTCACAGGGCAGTGAGCGTTAGAAGTATCTGAATTACGTTAATACGTAAAAGGCAGGCACTAAGTGACTCCTCAAGCTTCATCGCTTGTGAGCAAAGAAATTGAAACTTGATATACGCACCGTCCGTTATTTTCTTTCTCTTTGACGTTCGATCGAAAATGTCACGACACGGTGATGCCGGCGAGTTCGAAGACAAAGCAACATTCAATGCAACATTCTATTTAGCTTCTTTCGCGAACTCATTCGTGCTCTAAATTGGGGTAAGCTATAAATACAACGAGACATATAGGGGATACTTGTAGCATTTAGAAAGAGAAAAAAGATATATATACTTTCGAAAATTAAAATGATACATATACGCATGTACTGTAAATCGGCGGATCAATGTCGCCGTTGTTATCACATCTGAAATTTATATCAATCTTATCTATACTGCTACTTATGTGTCGCGATTTCACTTCGAGACGAAGTCACGCACACCACGTGACGTTATACTTGTAATTAAGTACACATCGAGAATAAACGATAACAGCGCGACATCACTTTCGCAGGATTCGCACGATTTCACACAAATTTTTCCTCGCATTTCGCGGGACACATTCGTTACGATTCGCATTGCCACCATTTGCGAACCGATGAGACTTGTGCGTTTTAATCTCGCGCCGAGTTTGCAAATGAAGAAAAGAAAGAATTTACGTTTAAATAATATATCACCTTCGAAAGACAGATTTGTCTCATTTGTCGAGACGACAACGACAAACAAGTGGACGCTTTGCGAATCAGCGATGCACGTACTATCTATCTCTATCTCTTTAAACACTTGAGAATTTCGCGCGAGGTTTTCCTTTGCTTTTTAGGCAAATGATCTTCGTGAAAGAGGCACACACGCATTTTTTCGGGTGCGACCGAAATGCGTGCGCGACAAAAATGCGACTGCAAATAAAATGCGGCGCTATATATTTTTATCATTGCCCGATATTCAATCGAGGAGCAAAACGCACTCGTGAATAAGTAGATCTTATACTTTCTTTAAGAATAACCATCCGCGATCTCTACAAAAATATTTCGTTCTCTCCGTCTCTCTTGATGACAGCCTTAATGGCGCGTCTCGTTACATTCGTCGTTGGCATCGTCCTAAGATAAGTCGAATTATCTTCCTCTATGAATTCCTATTATTCTCCTTCTCACCGAGGAAATGAGATCCCCCTCACGTCGCAGTTATATCGAATTTGGCTGGAAATTGAAATTCGCTATGTACAATTCTGCTCTCTCATCTCTTAAGCAGACGAGAATTGCTACGTTAAAGAAAAGAGAAAGAAATGACTAACTATCCATCTAAGTGCATGTGTACGCGCGTACACTGGACGCAATAATAATCTTCGTAATTATCTTATCTACTCGTATCAGGCCCGTTAGTAGCGATTTAAGTTTAAAATACGTCGAGATTTGGATAAGTTTATTACGCGAGAAAATAATTATCTATAATCCCGACTTCTTGCTGCGACCAAAGTACATTGACATTGATAATCCACAATGTTTTTCCGAAAATGTTGAAACATACGAAGAAACATTTGGTTGATCTTAAGCAATTTTGCTTTTTTTGCTGGAGAAGAATCTATCGAGTCTTCTCCAATTTATTGTAATCATCGATCCGTTATTATTTCTGAAATATTTGCGGCTTAAAGTAACATTGAACATTCGCAAATTTCTAATTCTCCTACATAATACATAATTCCTATACATAATTCTCTCTGTACTTTTGCGTAGGGAAACACTCCCGAATTGCCTTTCCTCGATTGTAATAATTGTTGTTTTCGTGCTCAGATCCGCGGTATCAGCAAACGCGATTTTGTGAAAACGCGCGGTGCGCGCGGTGCGTCTCTATCGATATGTAACAAAGTTGTTACCGATTCACCGACGAGTGTCGCATCGTAAAGCTATACGGGGAGATCAACCCGAGAAATTATCGGATTTCTTCAATACCGCACGATTCACTCGGTGCTCTTCTTCTCAGGAACGAATAGAAGATGTGGCCGAAGATGTCGACGCGAATCGATTCAGTTTACTGTCGATGATGATCTCGTCGCCGTTCCTAATATTGTATCGATAGAGCTGCTTGTTTGGATATAGCATTTCCTCCGGTCCGTATTGCGTCTTCATTTCCTAAAATATTAATTCGATCGAATTACGTCTCTTTCGTATCATCGCGACGGTATACGCGACATCCATATTTATTGGGTAAATTTTTTTAAGATAAATTAAGACGATTAAGATAAATTCTTGATAATTAGTGTAGATGTAAATAAAGTGTCATGTGTACATTAAGAATTCGGCTTTGTACCTAGTATTATATCTCGAGAAATTGCAATTGAATCTAGCTGCAGATTGGAATAAGAGGATCGTTTGGGAGGATTTGGACGCAATTTATATCGCTACTTTGAGTTTTGCAAAGTATCGATCGAGATATCAAATGTTCTGTGAACAATATTAAAGTCGTTTAATTAATACAAAACTGAAAACAACTCACCTGATCAATGTAGAAAAGTCTCATTCTATTGGCAGGAATTTTCACCATACTTTCCAACTTGGTTTTTAATTCGAAAACTGTTCTATATACATCCACCGATCGTATCTGAAAGCATGAAATTGTTTGTGATCGATCATTCCGGCATGACAATTTTATTTGCGAGTGGTTGCAAAAGTAAAAACTTGTAAAACAAGATAAATTGCTTTCCGAATCAATTTCCGAATGTTCGAGCAATGTTCGAGATAAATTACAAAATTAGTGGAAAACTCCGCTGTTACTACGTCCGCGATGTGCCTATCTAAAGTAATGAAACCGAATATGAAATTAAATACCTCGACGAGATCACCGTAAGTGAAGGTAACCTTGACCCTTTTCTCCGGTGTCAAATCTACGTTCACCAAAGGATCCAACTTTCCGTGAATAGCCACGAGCTCGGAATATCTGAAAATCGAAGAAGTTAAGTTGGGTCTTTCCGTGAGCGGTAAAGGAGCAAGCGTGACCGTGAAACGAGAATAGATTCTCCCTCGCGGGTGAAGCCCCGAGTTGGAATCGCCTGAATGAGGACGGGACTCATTCGCAAAGAAAACCGGAATTTGCATTTAAAGAGCTGCGTGCAGCTCACATTAGTTTAGAAACAAGTAGAGACTCGATTTAGAGACTCGATTTAGAGACTCGATTATCAAGGACGGCCGAGATCAAACTTGATGAACTCGAGTCGAAACTTACCTTTCGGGCCGGTCGGCTTCCGGCTTGTCCATGTAATAACGTATGAAGGCTCTCTCCGCGTCCTCGCGCTCTTGAGACGATATTACACCGCCGCCGTTCAAAGTCTCGACGTTTGGCAGTCGTGCTATTAGTAACTGCCGCCTCTCGTGTTCCGTGTACTCCCGTGGACTCTGGGAAGTGTTAAACGATATATATATATATATATATATATATATATATATATATATAGAGAGAGAGAGAGAGAGAGAGAGAGAGAGAGAGAGAGAGAGAGAGAAGTAACGTAGTACGTA